GCTGCAGCTGTGGTGCATCCCTGACTTTGGGGGGCTGCGGGGGGAGGTGTGCAGGTGGCATGGGGGCGGTGACACCTGCGGGGTCACCCGTGTCCCTCTGCAGGTGATCTCCATGGTGATGGTGGCCGTGGGGGTTTACGCCCGGCTGCTGAAGCACGCAGGTGAGCTCGGGGGCTCCCCAGCCCTGCTGGTTGCGAGCCACGGGGGTGGCATGTGGGGTGACAGTGCTGGTGACAACCCGCCCACGGTGACAGAGGCGGCCATGGCGTGCCTGGCGGTGGACCCTGCCATCCTCCTCATCATAGTGGGTGTCCTCACCTTCCTCATCACCTTCTGCGGCTGCGTCGGCTCCCTGCGGGAGAACATCTGCCTGCTGCAGACGGTGAGTCCTGCCAGGGGTGGGGACCCTGGTGGCACCTCGGTGGTCCCCTCACTGTCACATTCCTCTTCCCCTCACCGTCACATCCTTCTTCCCGCAGTTCTCCGTCTGCCTGACCGTCATCTTCCTCCTGCAGCTGGCGGCCGGCGCGCTGGCCTTTGTGTTCTCTGATGAGGTACTGGTGAGGGAGGGCAGCGGGGGTGCTGGGTGACCCCACTTCTGTCCTGCGGGGTGCCAGCCTCGCTGCTGTCCCCCCGTTTGTCCCCCAGGCCCGCGGGAAGGTCAGCGAGATCATCAACGGGGCCATCGTGCATTACCGGGATGACCTGGACCTGCAGAACCTCATCGATTTCGGGCAGAAGGAGGTGACCAGGGCGGTCTGCGGGGTCGGGGTGTCCCTCCAGCGCGTGAGGACACGTCCCCATGTCTGTGTCAGGCTTAAATCTGTGGGGTGGCACAGGCTGGGGACGTTGGATGGCTCTCCCAAGATGTTCACGGCGATGTCCTGCCCGGGCAGGGGGAGGCTGGGCAGGGCTGGGGGCACACAAAGAGCCCTGAGCGCCCTGTCCCCCTGCCGTGGGTCCCCTCCCCGCTGAGCCCCGTGCCCTGCCCGCAGTTCAGCTGCTGTGGGGGTGTCTCCTACAAGGACTGGTCCCAGAACATGTACTTCAACTGCACGGCCACCAACCCCAGCCGCGAGCGCTGCTCCGTGCCCTTCTCCTGCTGCCTGCACGA